ACCTCCCTTATTTTATTAGTATCCCATTACCAATGGGATGCTAAAAGCTACAAGAGGAATTTCTTTATCCTGTACTCCATGCATTTCTTCCTCTTCCCTCATGACACCCACATGCTAAAACACGGGGGCAGGTAAGGAGATCTTGGTGTGGCTGGGCAGGATTAGGGGATGGTGATGTTACCCACATGCTCTTGGACAAGATCTATCCTTTGGAACATGGAGCTGGGATTGCCTTCCTTCTCCTTGGCACTGCAAGCTGACATGGCCCACAATGAGCCCCTGATCTTCACTTTCTAAGGGGAAGTGTCTTGGATCACTTGGGCTCATTGTCTGCTGTCCCATCACCCTCCTGCTGTCCCTGTTTTGCAGCAAACCTCGCCCCGATGCAGAGCATCTCGAGTGGGCTGAAGGAGACCATCAGCCCCCAGGACATCGTGCAGGATGCCATCCACAACTTCTCACCTGCGTACCAGCACTACACCCAGCAGTCGATGCAGGAGGCAGAGCGCAAAGCACCAGGGGAGAATGGGCATGTGGCCTCCAAGATAGATGGACAGAGCAGCAGGAAGAGCAAAAACATTGAAAAGAGAATGCTAATCCTGTCAGATGAAGAGCTGTAGGAGGTATCAGAAGAGACACTGACACTGAAGAGGTTTTAATCCATGCAGAGGGCAGGTGTCTTGAGGCTGAGACAGCCTGGGCTAATCAGAATACTGAGAAGCCAGGAACTCTATCCAAAAAGCCAGTCTCTCAAAGGGAAGATGCAATAACCCAGAAAAGGTTAAATGAAATAGTGCCAGCTTCTGCTGTCATGGATGAAGCTGTGTTGGACCCTGTGTTGCAGCCTGGGCTTTGCTGCCCCACTGCTGCTGTCTCTCTGCCAGCCCTGTGCCAATGCTGGGTATGCCAGGCAGGGAGGGGAGCTGGGGTGCAGGACAGACCAGCTGCCCTCGCCCTACTCTTACCTCCAAGCACTGCTGAGGCCTGAGAGAAATGCTTTTCTCAGCACAGTTCTGCTCTAGTTTCTCCCAATTTGAGTAAAAAATGATCTCCAAGGGCTCTGTGGAGAAAACCAGCCCAGGAAGGTGACTTCGCTTCACCTCAAAACCCGGTAAAGGTTGAAAGACGTCATTCCTTATTTTTACAACTTTCTCCCTCTCCTTCTCACAGCAAAGCTTATAGAGATGTGCAAAAGACCTTTACCATGGAGAAAGAGTAAGTCATCTTCTTCTCCCTCCAGATGTGGATGCAGCTGTCCAAGTAACTCCCCTGGGAGTGTGGCAGGACCTCACTGGGACTAACCAGAGGTCTGCAGCTGCATTTCTGAGAGCTGCCGGTGACAGAAGTGCTTGTTTATGTCTAAACCAGCTTATCTCTGAACGGATCAGAAGTTAAAAGGGATTCCAGATTCCTTATCAGAATCTTTACTAGGGAACCAGACTGTGACTGGTGGTGGTAGGAATTCACTTAGTGGGAACTGTCTGTTCCTCCTAACCCTTCACTATTCCCCATCCCTGGGTTTTGCCTGACCTGTGGGAAGGCAAGCAGGAGCTGAGCCCAGCTGGGTGACCATGGTGAGGATAGAGAGGTACTGAGGGATGTTGCCACGTGGGGCAAGACCACAGGCAAGGGAAGACTGTGTATGGAGGGATGATCTTTGTATCAGTGATGGTGAGCTCATATCCTTCTGTTAAGACTTCTCCTTTCTTCCCCATTTCTTAGTCTAATTTCTATTCTTCTGTTAATGAGATGATCCCTGGGAATGAATTTAGGCACTGGTTGGTCTGTTGTCTGGGAAGGTAGCTAGCTAGTGGAAGGGTGAAGGCAAATCTATAGCCTCAGATTTGCAGTCATGTGGCAAACAAACCAATGGATAAGGCTTGGAGCCCTTTTAAACACAACTCATAGAATTTAGATCCTTTTTTTCCCTGCTCTTAAGCTGCAAAATGTAAATCACAACACAAAATTATTTATTTTTTTTCCTAATAAACAGCATTTTCTAGCACGGAGCAAGCATGCATTTTCACTGAGCTCAGCAAGCAAAGCCCACGATCTGCCTGTTCCTGCTATAATGCTGATGCTCTTAAGCTTAACGTCCTCCCTGCCCCTCAATGCTGGCCCAGCAGAAATACCTGCACACGCAGCATCCTGCACATTTTGGCATTCCTACAGGATTTGTGCTCATCTTTTTCACTCCACAAAGAACGTGCGTGTCTCCCACTTCCTCTCCTCGCACAGCACCTCCTCCACCCCTCACCTAAGCTGTGGATGCAGTGTTCAGAGGTGCTGGATCTGGTTTAGCTAAGCTAAGCCCAGACTCCAGCACCAAGACAAGCTCTGTTTATTATTATTATTATGGAGAAATCTTACCATGCTATAGCCCAGATTCCGCATGAGCAACCTATAGTTCAGCCAGTCCTGCAAGTCCCTCTGGTTCGAAGGAGCGCTGCTCCCACCTGCTCAGCCGGTGAGACTGCTGCCACTTTTCCTGCAGGAAGGTCCATAAACAAGAGCCAGATGCTGTGCACATCCAGGCATTCATCCAGGATCCTGCACATCCTGGGAGCAAGACTGTCCTGCATAGAAAGTGCAGCCTCAGTACTCAGGGACAAGGCTGCTTGGCTTTGTAATGCAGCCAGCACAGAGGCAGGGATATCTCAGATGAACATCTTGGTCTTCACCCCTCTGGGAGAGGACAGCCACAGCTGCAGGAACAGAGGCTGCTCTGGCTCCTGGGGCGAGGACAGACTGCAAAGGTGATGATGGCACATCTGCTGGCGTGCTCACAGCCGCTGAGATAAAGACTTGCACAAGAACACAGCAAGAACCGTGGTTGTACTTCATTGCACAAATGATCGACTCCGCTGCATAATGGGCTGCCTCCATTGCTCTGCCAGCAGGTGCAATTCCCAATGCAGACAATAACATTTGCCTATTTATGTCAAGCCCTGATTACTGTATTATATGTAAAACAGATCTTTCTTGCAAGCCAAACAAGGGGGGGAAGAAAAAAAAAAAAGTCAGCTGTGACTCATGCAAGTCAGCAGTGTGATACCAGCCTGAAGGAGCCGTGCTGGGCTGGACACCAGCTGGCTGCCGCGACGGCAACAGCAGGCACCCTCCCTGCTCCAGCCGGCGAGAGCTGGGCCTCCTGCTCGTCCTTCTTCTTGGAGAGGGAAGAGAGGCAAGAGCTGATGGCTCAGGCTGGGCACTGTCACGGCCCTCAAACCCTTAGGCTGTCAAAAGGCATCCATGGGGAACAGAAATGCCAGCGCTGATGTAGGCTGGACGCGGTCTCCTCTGCTAACGCGTCTCCTCCACTTCCTCAACAAGGACACGGGGAAAGCTGGCGGCGAGCACACGGGTGACCTACACAGGAGCCTGCTGTGCCTGGAGCCACGCCAGCAGGCAGCCCGGGAGGAACAGGCGTCTCTCACTGCCAGCAGCAGGCTCCAGTGGTCGGCAGATTTGTTTCCCCGTTGTCGCTTGTCCTCGGGCTTTCCCCAAGGACAAGGCTGAGCTGCAGCTATTGGATCTCCTGGTGCTTTTTGGGCTTGGATCAGGCAGGTTTACACCCCACTCGTGTCAGGGATGATCATCACAGGCACACTGCCACTACACCTGCAGGAGCTCAGCCTGACCTCCCTAAAAGCAGAGGGGAAGGAAGGCAGCCGCTGGCACCACAGCAGAGGTAGCTCTCATGCATGGCTGCTCGCTGCACAGCACCCAGAGACAGACTTCTTTTTTTGGGTGCTAGCACTCACCAGCAAGTGCCTAGGCCCAGCTGCTGACAGGCAGCAGACTGCCAGTCCTGTGCCAGAGAGCAGGATTTGTGCTTTCACCACCCCGTTCAGAGACCTTCTATGCTCCTCCCCTATGCATGGTGAATATTGAGCTTTCTTTCACTTATGAACCTTCACCTGGCCCATTCCTGATGCCCTTTTCCTGCTGAACTAATGCTCCTCCATCCCTCCAACAGTCACAACTGGTCCACCTCCCTGTCCCCTCTGTTGTCACCAGCTCCTTGCTGCAGTGACTCCAGGCAGGAGCCAAAGCAGCTGATGATGCTTTTTTTGCTCAGCACAGAGACTGCCATCACCCTCAGGCTTCACCCACGTGCCTGCTCAGCCAAGCCTGCCTGGCCCCACCTAATGACCATCCATTACCTGCTGACACACAAAGCCTTTCAGCCCTGCTCCTCTTCACTTTGCCCTACCTCTTAATTCCAGCTTTGGCCAACACACCCATCTGTCTCCAACCTACTGCCTCAACACAGGCCAAGTGTTTTGCCCCCTTCAGCTGTTCCCTCAAGAAATTCTACCCCTTGAAATATGGAATTAAAGCCAACACAGCCCCTGAAAGCTCACTGGCACAAGGTACCACCTTTTCCAAAGCCCCAACAGGGAAAAGCAAAAAGATGAAGTATTGATGTAAGGGGTTAAAGCAGTTTATTCACAAGCAGTCACACAGGGAAAGCATGAAGGGATATTTCACAACCCAAAGGCAGAGAGGAGTGTGTCTCTCCAGCAATTCCAGACAGGTCACAGTGTCTCCAAGCCACAAGTGGCTTTGCTCAGCATCACAACTACAGGCAGGTACCTGCTGAGCTGTCAGTCCTGCTTGTGCCAACACAGACACCCCCTGATTGTGCACAAAGACAGAGCCCCTGGGTCAGGAACAGACACACACGGTCTGAGCACAGCATCGACCTGACAAACAGCTCAAACAAGAGCTATCCCTGGAGCACATTCCAAGTGTCCCAAGAAAGCACCACAGGAAGGCTGAGATGGACTCCAGGAGGTTGGGTCAGATGATTGCAAAAGCCCAAGCTGCCATCCCACTCGCCTTAGCCCAGCCTGCCTCCAAAAAACACATCGCTCACCGCAGCGCCACGGCCAGCCGGGTGCTGCACTGGGGACAGGCAGCAAAAAAACCCGAGGAAAACACTCCACTGAAGATCAATTCAGGATCCAAAACGCTGACCATAGAACCAGGGCAAGTCTGAAACCAGAAAATGCTTTATTGGAAAGGTACAAAAAAACCAGTCACTGCAGCTAAATTTACAGCAATAAATTACGTTGTGGCTGTCAAGAGAAGTAATGGACACATACACAGGGCTATTCGCCTTACAAACAGGAATCCACATTGCTTGGTATATCAATAATTTATTTTATAATAAAAAAGCAGCACAAAAATAAATATTGAAATGAAATTACTGAGTAACCACAGAGGATAGAATGAGCTGGTGATAAAAAACAACTTAAAACAGAAGACTTCTATCATTAAAAAAATGAAAGCAAGTATCCACCATCTACAGAAACACCCCAGCAGACTGAAATACAGACGAAGGAAAACAAATCCACATTACAAAAGTTTTTCAGTTTTGTTTTGTTTCTTTTTTTTTCCATTTTTTTTCTTTTTTTCCTTTTTTTTTTTTTTAAATAAAAACAATCATGACAATGAAGTTTAAATGATTCGAGAGAGAAAAAACTGCCACCTTCTCCTCCTCCCTGGGTCTGAGCCATTCTGTGGCGCAGCTCGCCTCCGCCCCGGCCCAGCGCCAGCGCCTCGTCCCTCCCCGCCGTCCCGGAGCTGCCGTGGCACCCGGGTCTCTGCACTTTGTGGTCTCCTCCTGGCAGATGCAGAGCTGGGCAGGAGCAGAGACGCTGCCTTGTTTCAAAGGGATCTGGAGCTGCCCTGGAGGGAAAGGTTCCCCACTCCCAACAGAGAGCACAGCAAAGTCTACGAGAACAGAGGTATCCCTTCCCAACGCCTTCGTCTTCTCCTGCCTCCCACCCAGCCCTCTCTTCCCACGTCACACTGCGGATGGGGAGCAACCAAAGAAAGGCCAGGCCCAGGGGAGAGGATCCCAGCACCCAAAAAATCAGATCCCCCGCTCCTCCTCAGTGGGGTTGGGGGAACAAACTAAGAGGGGCAGAGAAGGGAGCCCCGGCATGCAAAGTACTGCAGCAGAGCGAGGCGGGAGGTGCGGCTGCGGGACGCGTCCCACGCCGCCAGCTCCCCGCGCCGCGCTCGCCCTGGGCGTCAGGCTGGCAAGTGCAGGACGGAGAGGAAAAAAACAAACAAAACAAAACGAAAAAAAAATAAAACACAACAGAAACAAACCGAACCCCAGAGGAATGCAACGCGACAACCCCAAGCTGGAGGGCCCTCCAGGGAGGAGGGTGGAGGAGCTGGGTCTCCAACGCGATCAACAGCTTTCGGGTCATTCCTCCCTCCACGTTACCTTGCAATTCTGATCCCTCTGTGGAAGTTTAGCCAGGACATTTCATTCTCCTCCAGGTCACCACCCAGGGAGCCCTGGACTGGCAATTTCTTTTAATAAAGATTTACAGTATCAAACTTGGAAAAAAAATTATTTTTTTTTCTTTTTTACGAAAAATCTGTACGATAAAATGTATATAATTATATATTTATATATATATTTCTCTCTCTTTAAATATTTCCACGTGGTCCTTATGGATATCCAATATGGATTACCTACCATGGCTATGGTATCAACAGCTTTAACAACACCCAGGCCTCTTGTTCTTTATCGAGTGACCAGAGATTTAAGTGCCTACCAGCACTAAACTAGCAATCACTTGGACAAGCCTTTGGCACCCTTCCAAGAACTGGAAAAAAAAGAAATACTTGGCCACAAGGGAAGTGCCACACAAAGATATGTTTCTCAACTCATTCCAACAGCAAGAAGACCCCAGGAACAAAGTTCAACCTCTGTCCCCTTCAGTGAGACAGGTCTGATTTCCCCGGAGGGGTGTCAAGGGCAGCCAGAGGGTGTTCCTATCTAGCCAGGAATGTTATGGAGCTCTGGAGCTGTTTTAAAGACTGGAAGCATTTGGGCATTTTCAAGTCAACTGGCCTTTTTCATTAAAGTTTTCATTTAAAGCCCCAACAGTGCCAGGAGTCTCCATTTTGCCTGTTTTTGGAGGCACCTGTAAGGTCTGGGAAAGTGTCCAATGTCTGTGAGCTGGAGAACATGAGAGGACCAGGAAATGACCGTAACATCTTTCTCTTCCTCAGCTTCTGCTGTGGGAGTCAATAACTGGTACTGATACACAGGACATCGATCTGCCTGTTTGGAGATAGGGAGGGAATGGAGGAGAAATGAGGTAACACTAAGTGCCATCCAAACTCTACATGTTGGAAAATCACTTGAAGGAAACTCCCTGCTCCCCTCCAAAACATGTGGATCTGGCAGGGGGAACGAGCCTTCAGGAAGCATTTCACTGACACCCTTTCTGGCTCAGTAAAGTCACGGATGTCGATGTTGGGGACTGAATGAGAACCAAGTCTGAGGTTTCTTCTTTTCATTAACCTATTTCACAAAGGATCCTCCTGGGAAATCCAGAGACTCCGATGACAAGGTGAAAAAAAAAAGAAAAAGCAAGCTAACAACTTCTTCCAAAGACAAGTAGGGCTTCACTAAATTTCTACCAACTTACTGCCATTCAAGGCAAGACAAAGCCTCAAACAACAAATTATACTGGGTGTCAGATGCCAGTTCACTGTCCTCTTTCCAACAATGGTAGCACTTGATTATTCTCTTTCAGTCCAAACCACTTATGAATTCTCCGTGATCTCTGTTCCAGAGCCCAAATTCTCTAAGCTCTTCTCCTCATCTTAAAACCTCAGCAATCTCATTCTCTTCTCACCTGCATAACAACAGGCATCGTCCATTCCATAAGTCTCTAACCTGCCCTACAAAACACAGTCCCTTTCCTTTCCTACTTCAAGAAGAAAAAAAAAACAACAACAAAACACACAAACACCAACATAGCTATTTTTTTTTACAGTGACCTGGAAACATTCATTGTTTCATCACTGCTGTGTGACAGCAGAATCTCTCCTTTCAGCTTCCCAAATCCTGCCCACTGCCAAGCCAGAAATCCCTCTCCCAAACCACTGCTCAGAGCCAAACAAACGACTTCTCGATCCCAATTCTTCTGTCCCCTACACGCACATTGATTTTCCATCCTGCCCTCATTATAACTCACCCACTTGCAAGAGAAAGCATCAAGTTTCAGGGTCACATTCACACAGGTTGTCTGAACACTGAGGGTTGTTCACTGTACTCTTTGGATCCCAAATTCAGCATCTGATGTGCTATGGAGAGGGAAAGACTCTTCCAAGCTCCCATCCGACCTCCCCAGAGCCCTTCTCTGATGACCGAGGACTGATGAGCACAGCTCTCCAGCTAAGGATGCTCATTGCTAACATACCAATGCTTTTGTCAAAGAGGAGACTCTAAACTTCTCTCCTCCTGGCTGAATGCTATTGCCCTCTAGTTGCACTTCAGTGCTTTAAAAACATCCTTCTGAAATCCTCTGCACAAACCCCTTCTCATAGTGCTGATCCCAGCAGAACTGTCCCACCTTCTCTCACAGCCAATTCTGCCTCCACCAGCAACACATGCAGCATTTTTCCTCCTCATCTCCCCTTCTCCTCCTCACCACACTGCTCTTCACAGCATTTACTGTGCCTTCCTCCCTTCAGCTTCAGGTAACCCAAGAAAAAAAAAAGCTGCTACTTCAAGACTGCGGATCATTTGGAAGAAATAAACTGCATAAATATACCCAATTCACAGGCACACCTTTGGGAAGGAGCTATCAGGAAACTTGGGCTTGGAATAAAGGAGGCTGCAATGTAGTTTTTTTACAGGCCACACAGGTAATGGGGCATATTAAAATATGTAAAATATATATTTTTCCATATTTTAACAGCATGGATTGAAAACAAAAGGTTATTCTTAATGGGTGTGGTCAGACCCAAGCACTTATCTCCATCATCCTCCCACTCCCATCCACTGTTAGCAGGATGAAATCAAACCCAAAAAGCCTATATTCCTGCCCTCAAAATATCAGATGGAAGTGGGGAAGGTAGGGGAGACCCTTCTTACAAGGAGTAGGAGGCCACTAAAGGAAACTCTTTTTCCCATACATTCATCTCACACGATGATTTCTACGGTCCATATGTTCCTGGCTCTTGAGCATCATTCACGAAGACTCCGGAGGCTCCTCAGGTATCTTCTCCCAGCTGGAAAGCAGCCCAAGCTGAGAGGGGTTTGTGGAGGCAGAGGGAAGGAGGAAGCAGATCTTGCAATTTGTACTGCATACAGAGCTCAAATCCTGGACACTAGAGGTTGATGGAGCCACTGAGTCCAGACAGAAGCAGCCAGTTAAGTTCCCTTTGTAGGAACCCTTTGGGTTTGTTTTTCTCTTTTCTTTTTTTATATTCTTCTGTTTTTTTGCACTTTTGGAAGAGACTTCTTAAAATGCCAATTCTTGACGTGACCAAGGACTCCGGAACAATGCATAAGAGCCTTATCCCCTCCCCTCTGAAAGGCTGCTAGTTCCCCCCACCGAGGGCACTAGGAGGCTGCTGAAAAGGGCACAGAACTGGATGAGATTTCGGCTGATTTCACGATGGTGATGACACTGGTGGTGGCAACTTTGGTCGGGGTAATAGGCCCTCGCGCCACAGTACGAGCAAAGGTCTGGAGTGCTTCGTACTTGGAGCGCAAGGCATCCAGCTCTAGCTTCATGCTGCTGTTTTCTCTGGCCAGCTTCTCCACCTCTTGCTGCAGCTCAACCCGCTGCCTCTCGAGCTCCTCTTTCTGAGTCACACGCTTGATGCGGCAGCTGGCAGCGTAGCCCCGGTTCTTCAGCGTGCGCCTCCGCTGCTTCAGACGGATGACCTCCTCTTTGGTGAGACCCCTCAGGTGCTGGTTCAGCTCCCGTACGGACATTGACACGAGTTCATCATCACTCAGCACTGGGGCATTCTCTCCTGACTCCTCCTTTACCTGCAAATACCAACAGCACAGGGGTAGCAGCAACCCAACGTGAGCGGATGCTCTGGGCAGCAGAAGGAGAAAAGGACACCCCTCAGCAACGTGACATTCCTACCTGGAAAATACTCCTGATGTGGTGTGGAGAGCACAAACTCCACTAAAACATCTGGGTTAAACATGGCAGAGATCTGAGCACTGCAGTTGTCTGGGTTTGGGTTAGCCTCTTAGGTCAGAGAAAGCAGTGATCTTTAAATAGCCAATGTGAACCCAACAGCAAGATTTTCAAGGGGATGAATATGAAATCAGCTGAAGCCTTTTTTTGTGAAGTCCTTTGTCAGGACCTGGAATTCATAATGAATGCTAAAGATGACACCTTATCCCAGCATTATGCTGGGACACCAGTGCAGTATCTCAAAAGCAGAACAGCTACTTCTGTGCAGGGCTTAATTCAGCATTTTGTGGTTTTTTGTTGAAGACTGCTCATTTGAGTTGTGAACAAAACCAGCCATGCTTGGCTTCAAGGACAGCCTGATTTGGTTTTGCTGGGGCACAGCATTTAGTAACTGAAGTTACATGACAAAAACCACCAAGGCTTTGCCCTTTCCTCAAGCACATTTGCCACCACCATTATTTTCAGAATCACAAAATTGTTTAGGCTGAAAAACACCTTCAATATCACTGAACACAGAACTTTTAAGACACCATCCTTCTGTCTTTTCAGAGACTGCAGGACATATGGAGTGAAGAGCCTAAACACTAGAAAGAGATTTCAACCATGCGTGAACAACCCAGGCACAGACCACCATCAAGCTGGTATGCCTGAAGCATTTACTGTCTCATGGATCTGGGAGACACCAGCTGAACAAGTCCCTTCCCCAGTGCCTACCAGTCCTGAGAGTAAAAGTAGTTCATTGCCAAGACTGGGAGCACTGGTTTCAGGATGCTGCCAATACCTCTGGTAGTCAGAAGTCTCTTGGGTAGCTGCTGGAATATGCCAGCCTCCATGGCATCCCAGAGACTTCAAGCCTCTTTCTGGGTAATGCCAGTATTCTTCTACCCTAACCTTTCCTGTAGACAGTGGGAAATTGTATCAGCACCCATTTCTAAGAGTCTCTCAGAATGAAAAAGAACAGTCACGTACGAGCAGCACAGCACGGTTCTGTGACAGCCTCCCCAGCCACCCAGCACCACCCACTCAGCTTCTTCCCTACCTTTAATGCCTTGTTCGGTTTGGGATTAGTCGTCATAACCTGAGCACAGTCTTCCGGACAAAACTGCTCAGAAATTGCAACTGGAAAAACAAAACAAGGTTTCCAGGTTAATAACAGAGACGAGGGCAGGAAGAAAATACCCAACACATCACCCAAATCCCCAAATCAACCACCATTAAAAGAAATAAGCACATAGTTGTTTGAAGCACTGGGATGGATTCAGATAGCATTTACCCTATTCAGATAAGAGAAAGAGAAATTTGTGTTGACAAGTGCATTGCTTTTTAACACCCAGACCTCGTATTTTGCTGTTAACCACACTAAGATGCAGCAGAGAAGACAGGGCAGGGAGGAAAGAAGGACACACACGTTCATCTGTAAACAAGAGTCACACTAAGCATCACGCACCACCTTGCCATGTGCCACCCCTTCCCAAGGGGAGAATGGAGCGTGGCCTCCAAGGCCCCGTCACCGGCTCACCTCCCTCCGGAGGCATCCCAGACGCTCCAAATGGCCTATTAGGGACTGAATTAAGAGTTACCTCTGCTCATAAAAGGGAATGAAAAGCCACAAGACAACAACTCCCTTCATTCTCATTTTGATGATTATTAGCTCGGCTCGAAATTGAGCCAGCAACCCAGAGAGAAGCTGCCTGGTTTGTAACCTGCTTCCAGCGCTGTCCCCACCCAAAGGAGACGCTACCAGCAAACCAAAACAACAGAAACAAAAGCCCCCCCCAATAACAAAGCTAGGAAGGAGTTCACCTCTCCCAAAGCACCAAGACTGTTGCTTCCCAATCCTCCAGCCCCAGACTGCGAGACCAGACCTGCTTGATATTTCTAGTGACGTGGAGACATGTCCATCGACAGCCAGCATGTCCCCTGCCGTGACACTGCCCTTCACTCTCACCTTAGCCAAGACTACACCCCTCCGACCAGCGCCCTGCAGAAAATCCACCTGCCCGCACCTCCACCCCATGGTACCTACCCCGGGAGAGGCACCGGCAGCCGTGCCACCATCACAGCCTCTGCTATGGCTCCCCAGAGGGGAGGGGTGAGGCGCCGGTGCCCCCGACACAGGGCGGCTTCGAGGGCTGCACACCCGCGGCACCGCAGAGCTCCTGTCTGGCGGGAGTCCTCTCTCTCCCCCCACCTTCTCCTGCCCAGCCCAAACCCTCCCCATTTCCACGTCTGCATCGTGTCACACATCCTAATCATTCATGAAAAATCCAGCCAAAGCATCCCAAGCATGATTCCCTTCTGATAGTTGCCATGGTGACCTTGGGAAAGTAGCCAACCCGGAGACAGTCACCATGGAAACAGAGAAGCCCAAAAGCAATAATGACTTCAGGTCATGTCTGTGCAAAGACATCACGAGGTCGTCGGAGAGTAAACAAACTCATTCATATCTGCAAACAGGGGTGGCGGGATGTGGGGGGGTGCAAAGGTGGGGCGTGGGGACCAGTGGGAGCCGGGTGGGTGAAGGTGCTGGCTCAGCCTGTGCTGCTGTCACTTGAATTTTATCAGTCAAGGCACCTCATCATCACACGACTTACATAAAAATCAAGATGAAGAGCAGGAGGGGGAAAAAAATAATCCTGTAATTGCAGAGCTGCAAGATACTATCCTAGATATTAGGGAGTGTATTTAGGCGCCTCCTCTATTTTTAAGCCTGAGACAGCACAGCTCTCCATGTCTGGAGGAGGGACAAGGACAGCCGCACAGCACACAAGCCAAGATGCTCCGTGATGAATGGACCACTTACAGCAACTGGTGTGTGCTGCATTTTCTAGAGCATCAGCGAGTCCTTCCCTGCTCTCCTCCAGCGCTGAGCCCCACCCCGGGCACACCTCCAGCCACAGCCCCTGGTCTCGCCAGGACAGCAGGAATGGGCAGGGCACGGGGCAGGGGGGCGACTGCCAGCCCCCCTCAGCTGCCTCCGTCGGCCGGGGATGTGCCCAGCCTCTGTCTGCGCGCTCTCCAGAGCCCGATCTCCTGCGAGCACAGGCACCTCTCCAGCGCCCAGCACTGCCCTTCCACCGTCCGTCGCTTCCCCTCCACACCGGGCATTTGCTGCCCACCCCTACCTCCCGGCCGGAGCCGCAGACCACTGGCAGCCGGGGGGGAAGGAAAAAGCTCCTTGTCCTGGCCAAGAGGTCTCGGAGTTGAGGAGCGCAGAGGCGCTGCCAGCGCGTAGAGGAAAGGGCCGGCAGCCCCCTCCCTGCAGAGGCGCAGCCGGGCCGCAGGCAGTTGGTGCCATAGTTATGCAGTGAGTCACCAGCTGTTTACAGAGTTTGAGCGCTCACATTCCCACAGCATCAGAAACTCTTCCTTCCCTCGGCGGCATCCCCCCTCCCTCGCCGCCCCCATCCCTACAAGGGAAGGGGCGCACTGGCCACGGGCCGCGCTGCGAACGCCGGAAAAGGAAAGGCAAAAAGGAGGGGGAGGCCAACGACAGCCCCGTCACACCCACCGACTGCACAAAAAGCCTTTTGATCCTCACCCAGCGCGTCTTCAAAGCGTTTTGTGCGCCAGCCGATGGAAAAACTGAACGCGGCCACTTGGCCGCGCGGAGATGGAAAGAAATGTAAAGTATCATGGAAAACAAGAGCCGAGGGGTGAGGTTGCCTCCAGTGGGGTCAGCGTGAGGGCTCACCTGCCACCCTGAGCAATGCTCCAGCTCCGAGTGATGAAACCCTGCTGGTCACCTGTTGCTCCATGTCACCAAAGCAACAGCTCCTTACCCTGCACATTCCTCAGAGGACAGCACAGGCGCTTGGCTCAGCGTCTTCTGCTGCACACCTGTCTCCCCCACACCAAAACACCCTGGATGGGCCAGCATCCCTCTAACATGGGCTGGGATCCACCCTACTGCACCAGGGGCCATGGCCAGAACTGCTGCTGACACAGATTAATGAGGAGGTTCAAGGCACCATCAGGAATTGTGATGCCAGACCCTCTTAAAATAAGGGTGGGAGACTGTGGGCTGGCCTGACCCAAAGGGCAAGATTTCCTAGGGCAAGTAGGAAGACTCAAACAGGCTCAAGTCTCACACTCATATCTGAGTGCAAGGGTGAGTCTTATCTCTGCACTAGGTGAAGGCACAGGTGTGGTCCCAGCTCCGCTCGAAACCGATACAACAACACTCGCAATCTTCACCAGCAGTCCTCCAGGGCCTTGGGCCTCATCTCATCTACCAAATCCTTCCCACCAGGATTATTTGGGACTATTCAGCTACCAGCAAGAAGACACTAAAAATCAGCATGTCATCTCCCTTACATTTGTTACTTACAAAGCAAAACCCCGCAATGAAATCACAAACCACTCTGCAAACAAGTCATACCCAGCAGCGTTCCCTAAACATGCTGCACAGGGGTCTTCTGGGACCCTGCCTGCGATTTGATTATTAGAACCCTTTTAGTCTTTACCCTGCTCCTGCCCTTCTTTCCTTAATTGCATTTGCTGCATCACATCTAAAATTAGGAGCTCAGCTTTTTGGAACAAGGACCGCGCTACATCTCTGCTCTGTAAGCAGTACAACACATTCCGAATGCCACATCAATAAAGCAGCAAGTAGTATTACACCAACTGTGAGGGGAAAAAGCTTTTCCAGAGCTGCTCCACGCTCGTATTTACAGCAAGTGTTTTGACTGTGGGTTACATAAAGAGCCCTTGTAATTCTGCAATAAAGTTACCCATTGACAGCCTTGCCAACGCCCTCTCCCTCTCTCAGACAGCTCCTATGCCTCCTGCAGCATCCTCCCAAAAACCTGGAAGTCTCCAGCTGACATCCTAAGTCTGACAGTCTCAGAGCATCTAGAGATCCCAGTTCCTTCGCTTTGAAAGGGAAAGGCAGCAGAAAGCCTGACTCAGGCAGAGGTAGGACAGAGCTTTCCACACAAGGCTTGCAATTAAGAAAGAAAACATGCCAGAGTGAGATTTCAGACTTTCCACGCTACAGGGCTTTCCAAGCGCATTACACATTAAGGAATTACTATAAAATCACTGCCGACACCCGACAACTGCAGATGAACTTGAATTTTAAAACTCTTTCTACACTGAAAGACAACCCCGGCCACAACATCAGTGCCTGGCAGACAGCCCTGCTGGTGTTTAGCTTCCATCCTCACACATATACAGCAAACTGAAAACATGCAAGCCTCACCTTCCGCCAGGCCAGCGACAACTTCCCGAGGGCAGAAAAACAGCGCAAGGTTCAAGCGGCGACAGGGATCTCTGCCATCACGTCTCAATTCGGCACCGACAGCTACGCAGGGAATACTCTACTCATTCCCAAACGCAGCCATTTAAATCCTAGGCAGCTGTTTAAATTTCTCGTTTATCCTCAAGTTGTTCCCAGCTCCAGAGCGCTAGCCAAACGGATGTGCCTACCACGGGTAACATCTGAGCTGACAGGTGAAGGCAACTACAGATGCTTAAATCCTCATCGCCGTGTCTCTGCCGCTCGGAGGCACGACACGGATTTCCAGCACATTGCAGCATGGTAGGCAGAGCACCATCCCTCTCCCCATCACTCAAAAAGCCATTCTCCTGCTCTGACAACCTTCACACATCCTGTAAGGCAGACTGACGCTTGTCACTCATTTGTAATGAGAGCGGGGAGGGACGGGCTGGTGGTGTGAATCAGAGAGTAGAGAAGCATATGCGAGGCAATATATTTGACATGAAGAGAGAGAAGACACAAGGAGGGGGTGAGTCACTGTTTACTGTTCTAGAGGAGCTCCACGCAGCCCTCGCCCAGCTGGCCAGCTTTCCATTTCCCTTATGGATCGGAACCAGCATCCAACAGCAAAGGGGAGATTCAGGAAGCCTCAGAGCACATTTGAGAGCTGCCAGGACACAGCTCTCTGAGGCGCTCTCTGGGGAAGCCTGGACATGGATCAGACAGTCTTCACTGGTTTGGTAAACAACCTAGTCAGAAGCTGCAGAAAGCCTGTGGTTAGGGAGCAGGGATATGGAGCACCAGGCGGGTACATCTGTGTGTCACCTCTGAAACTTCATGGAGGAGGAGGCTGAAGGGGAAAGGTATGCGACAGCCAGCCCTGGTACTGACAAGCTTACAGCACTTTTTCCATCACGTGCTTGTAAAACGCGGTGACAGAGATATACTGGAATTACACCTCAGCATCACCAGCCCAGAGATGCAGCTCCCCAGCCGGACAAGCAACAAATAACTTTCTAGGATGCACAGCCAGACCCTGGGGTAGAATTGGGATTCCTAACTTTGCTGCTCCTGACCCTAAGTGCCAGCCATCAAGTCAGAGATCTTCACTAACTGTAATAATGGAACATAGCAGCATCACTATTTGGCGTCCTGCAATATTCCAAAGCAGTGGGATCCACTATGCAGCCTGTCCCTCAACTCAGGAGCACAGTGCCAGGGTAATTGCTCTCATTACTGCCTTCCCCCAGCCCTTGTGCTGATGGTCACAGAGCACTGCATCGCTTGTGCTTGCTTCATGCTCGGAAGACTCTCTGCCCAAGTTTGAAGATAGCCTCAAACAATAGCTGAGACAGAAGTGGAAATTGCCTGTTCATCTCTACAGGGTGCTGAGCCTGAAACTTCCTGATAATTGAAAGTGCTAGCACCGCTCAAGTATTTCACAGCTGGATGTTTACAAAAATGATCAGCGAGCAAGCTTATCCCACAAACCCCAACTGCCGCAGGGGCCAGCGCTCCCAGCTGTCCTTTCTTCGCTTCCCAAACATCTCACACAGCTAGAGATTTTCAATACCAAGTCCTGCAGCACATTCCATGCCATTAATCATCTTCCAATGCTGATGGAAATCAGAGGGTATCAAGCTGATCTGTATTTTTCCCTTTCAGAAGGCACACAGCAGTACTGAACTCCATGCCGCAACAGATTGCTGAGACGGGCGACGGCGCAGAAATGACATAAAACATGACAAAGCACGCTGTCCTTGACAGGCAAGCAGGAAAAAAAAAAAAAAAAAAAGCCAACAAATTTCTACCTCTGGTTCAGAAACAGTTGTGAAGCAAGGCAAGAAGCTGGCGTAATACAGCCAGGAACATTTAACAGGGCTCAAAGCCGTGTCAAGCTCAGAGCCCGCAGAAGCGGGCAGAGTGTCCTGACGGCCAGAGCCACCGTGTGCCCAACCTTGCGGCAAGTGCCCGGTCGGTGCTCGCCGCCAGCCCCGGGTCCGGCAGCCCGGGCGGGCGGGAGCGGAGCGAGCCGCGGGGCCGCGCAGCCATTGGGCAGCCGCGGCGTCCATCAGCCCGAGGAAGTGACTGCACGAGGAAGGCTCGAGGAAGGGCTCTCCGCAGGCAGCACCGCGGACACACACGGAAGGAGAAGGGGGGAAAAAGCGGAGGGACGCACGCTGCTTTCATCAGTGAGAAAAAAACCAGCAGGTAAACTCACTCGCTGCTAAAACCCCGACGGCACCCGCGGCACGAGGCGCTGGGCTGGGGCGCAGGGCTGCGTCCGCCACGGGGCTCACAAAAAATGAAAGTGCAAGAAACAGGCGTGCAGCTTTTCAGGGAAACACTTTGCTGCTCTCACTGGCTCCCTCCACCTTCCGCAGCCCCAGCTCAGCTTTAGGCACGCTGGCAAAGGAGGGGGCGGCCAGGTGAAAGCGAAAATGGAGGCCTTTCCCTTTTCTGTAACAACTTTGCCCAAAGGGGGCTCGTTCCTAATTTGAGACCTCATGGCCTGCTTTCAGCAGAATCTGTAAAATAAATCCTCCACGGAGAAACCCACGAGGGAGGGGAGCGGGCTCTCAGCCCGAGGAAGAGGAGGAAGGAAACAGACCCTGACACACTGTGAGAGTTTGGAGATCTCAGTTCCCGTCGCTCTTGGCCTGGATGTTTCCCCCACCTTATGCCGCTGCCGTCACGGGGGGATTGAAGAGGTTCCCCCCACCCACCTCCTCACTAAAGATTAAATCCCCAAACCGTCCCGCACCCACCAGACAGTCACGCGGCAGTGCCCGCTCCCGGAATGTCACCGTCCCTTTCCTCCCACGGCCAGTCCCCGGGCGGCCGCAGAGCACCCCGTTTCCAGGGCGGCCCCCCATGCACACGCATCCCTCCCTCCCTCCCCACAGGCTGCGGGACCAGCCCGAACACACCACGCTCCTCTCCCTCTTTCCACCCAACCAGCAGCTGTGCTCAGCAGAGATAAGCCCCCCACCCGCCGCAGCCCTGACCCCCAGCCCATCCGACGGGCAGCGACGCGCCCGCCTGGCATTTCCCGGTGGCGGCGGCTGCTCTTGCCCGATAACCCGGGGCGGACAAGCGGATCACGAAGCCGCCACCACGCCCGGCCAGCGCCGCACGCCGCGGCCACGCCGCCCGGCCCCGGCTGCGCCCCGGCTCCCTCCGTACTACAAAAGCTGCTATTTTTAGTCGGCGGAGCGCGCGGCGTCACAACAGGTTTCCTCACATGTATTTTAAGAGCCATTCAAAGGCAGAGGCAGGCAGCGCGCTCATCCTCGGGGGGAAGAAAAATAACAACAAGAGACCGGGAAAGCATCACCCCGGCAGACACCCAGGGGACCCCCAGCCCCGTGTCCCCGAGGGTGCGGGGGCGCTGCCGGCCCCGTCCCACGGGGGTTCAGCGGTGCCGACTCCGCACTGGTGCGAGGTGACAGGGCAGCTGCGACGGCGGGGCCGTCGCGCCCCTGCCCCGCGGGGCCGCTGGCGGCCGCGGTGCCGCCCCCGCGGGCCCCACGTGCGCGCCCGGCCCGGCCCGGCCCGGTGCGAGGGGCGGCGGCACCACGTGCCCGGCGCGGTGGTGACTCAGCACTTTTACCTCCGCCGCCCCGCCCGCCCGCGCCCAACCGGACCCGACCGGACCGAGCGGAACCCGGGCCGGACCCGGGCCGAGCCGCCCCTTCCCCCGCGATCGAGCGGCAACGCGCGGCGCTTCCGGCATGGCGCGTCACCGCGCGCGTCACCGCCCGGCCCGCCCCGCCCGCCGCGTCACCGCCGGGACCGCCCGCGCGGTTCATTCATGGGGAAGGGCGCGGGACGGGCGGGGCGCCGCTGCCGGCACGTAGTCGTCCCCCTTCATCTTCATCGCCGTCCCCGTCCTTATTCTCATCCTGGTCCCCATCCCTCCTTCATCTCCATCTTCCTCACCCTGATCCTCATTCCTCTTTCGTGCCCCCTTCATCCCCATCCCCATCCTCGTCTCTACACCACGCCCCGTGCCCCCGGCCCCGCTGCGGGGCTCACCCGGCTCCGACAGCTCCCTACCACCCGGATCAGTCCGGATGGCGGAGCGCAGCGTGGACCACGGTTTTGCACGGTCACACACGGGTGCCTTTTACAGAGTCATAGAATGGTTGGTTAGGGAGGGACCTTGCTCTTCAATCCCCCTGCCATGGGCAGGGACACCTTCCACTAGACGAGGTTGTTCCAAACCCCATCTAAATTGGCCTTGAACACCTCCAGGGATGTGGCATCCACAACTTTCCTGTGCAACCTGTGCCAGTGCCTCACCACCCTCACGGAAAAGATTTCTTCCTGACATCTAATCTATACCTGCTCTTTGTCAGTTTCAAGCCATTACCCCTTGTCCTGTCACCACATGGCCTGGTCAAAAGTCCCTCTTTAGCTTTCTTGCAGGCTCCCTTCAGACAGGGAAAGCTGGCAATAAGATCTCCCTGAAGCTTTGTCTTGTCCAGGCTGAGCAGTACCAATTCTCTCCTTTCCTCATGCGAGAGGTGTTCCATCCCTGTAATCAATTTGGTTGCCTCCTCTGGTCTCACTCCAACAGCTCAATGTCTTTCCTGTGCTGAGAACCCCAGAGCTGGACACAGCACTGCTGGTGGGGTCTCACAGAGCAGAGGGGTAGAATCACTTCCCTTGACCTGCTTGCCCCTCAGCTTTTGGTGCAGCCCAGGACACGGTTGGCTTTCCAGCCTGAAAGTTCTTTGTTGTCTCATATCCAGCCTCACATCCACCAGCACCCCCAAATCCTTGGAAGGGCTACTCTTGATCCTTTCATCCCCCAGCCTGGGTTGGTAGCAGGAGTTACCCTGACCCAAGTGCAGCACCAGCACTTGGCCTTGTTGCCGGGCAAATGATGGTGGGGAAATGTGTCCTGGGCACTCCAGTGCTCTTGGGAGGACTCACTTGTTCCCTGGGCTCCTCGAGGTTGCCACTGACCAGCCTTGTCCTCCACTAACTCTGGACCAGCCTGTGCCCAGCACTGCCTGTCCTGCAGCCCCCTGAGCGTGGCAGCAGGGCCAAATCTTGTGAGGGCTGGATCCTCAACCCAATCTTTGCACT